CTAGAGCGTCGAAAGAGGGGAAGCTGGTCAGGGGGGGGGGGGGGGGGTGTACTCATAGTCGTGCATGCCGTAGTCGTTTGACCATTGACCTCGCATCCCTACAAAGCCGGGACGGAGCACGCCGGGTTCTCACCGGACCAGGCTCTCACATCACCAAGCGCGAAGCGCCGTGAGGTATTTGGCGAGTCGCATGAAGGGTGAGCTGCCATCCTGCTAAGGGTGTTCGGCATCTTGTGCTTACTTCCTTGCGTACGGATGACAGCTACGTATGACTTAATTTATTTTCTGGTGCTTTCACTTCCAGAGACAGTTGTAAGCACTGTGTAACTGCCTCGAGGAAGCTTGACCATTTTAACACAACGTGGTGCGATCATCCCCCGTTGCGCGGAGTGAGGTTTCTCGACCCCGCACAACATGATCTACTCGACCACCATTATGGTTACCGCCAAAAAAAAAAAACCGAGGTAAAAAAAAAAAAAAAACGGTAACCTGGTTGCCGAGTTCACGAAGTGAATTGGCTTGTTTTACAACGTCGTTGCCAAGCGACGAAAACCCAATCCCGATGGGAAACACCGAGTGGGGGGCTTGTTTTACAACGTCGTTGCCAAGCGACGAAAACCCAAACCCCGATGGCAAACACCGGGGGGGGGGGGCGGCTTGTTTTACAACGTCCTTGCCAAGCGACGAAAACCCAACCCCGATGGCAAACACCGGGGGGGAAAAAGGGGGGGGGGGGGGGTAAAAATTGGACGACAGTGTCCTGCTTCTCAAGTACGGGGAAAGGACCCAATCCTAGACTATCGGTCGAGGGTATACGTGTATGTGCATCTATTTCGTTGGGCATTGACTGCGCTAACCGGCCGACCAATGAGCCTACACCAGCCCTCACCATCGTAGTACCGGGATAAGGAACGCTAGGTGCGGAAGAGGTTGGACGTCAGCGTGCGTAGAAAGTTCTCACTACAGCAACAGCACCTGTTTTTCCCCGCACCCCCTTCCCCCGAGGTCAACGGTCTAACGACTACGGCATGCACGACTATGAGTCCCCCCCCCCCCTGCGAAAATGCCCAATTCGTGCACCGAACTCAGCGACGGCAACGAGCTCATTCCTGCGTCGCTTTTGCTTGTCGCTGTGGCCGTTTTACGCTTGCCGCACTTGCTTTCGCGGAGCAGGATGCGTCGAGACGTCACACCGGCAGTGACAGCAGCCGACACCCGCGCACAGAGCAGCACAAGCCCGGCTGCAACCTCTGCCGGTCCCCGCGACGGCAACAACACCGCTGCCAAGGCTAAGAGCAGCAACGCATCGTCCCCTTCCGCCGCCGGCAGCGACGACGAGGTCGAGATTCGACAGAAGGTGCGACGATTTTCCCGGCAGACACTTCTCCGCCGACTTCTTTTTGGACAAATGTTTTGAACTTACGTCCGCGGAAGGCCGTCAGAAGCGCTTCTGTTTTTCCGTTTTTGTTGCGGTATCGTGGCCGTCTTTGTGTTTGTGGGAAGGCTCCTTTGGCGGGTGCAGAGGAGATTGGAGGTGCAGGGGGAAGAAAGGCTTAAGTGCTGGAGTTGTGAAGACAGCGGGTACAATGGCAACAGACCCGGAAATTTCGCAGCACCAACGTACAAGGAAGGGCGACGAGGGAGGCGGCAAAGGGCAAGAGCATCTCCTCACGTGTTGCGATACGAACGTTTAGAGATCTCGCCCTGCTCTTTGGGTGGTGTCTCTCCTAGTTTAGAAAGCGGTGCGCCGTCCGGTCGAAACAAACAATAAAACCCCATCCGCGTCAACCCCCACCCCCCCCACCCCTGCCCCCACGACAACAAAAACAGCTGGAAAGGCTGAAGCGGTTCGAAGAGCTGGACCGCCGCCTGATGGAGAGAGTCGGGGTCCACCTGGCGGACGTGGGCGACCTCAGCAG